CCAATGTTTCACAGTTTTGGATGGTCTCTAGAGTTTCTTTTCAGTTCAGATATTTCGGGTAGCTGTTCCCTTCAGGACCTCAATGAATCTCATAGTACACTATATACAGAGCTTAGTATTTGGCCAAAGGACTTAAGGACACCACTATGCCATTTTTTGCAACCCTCTAGTATTTTACCCTGTAAATACCAGCTATCTCAGCAACTCTGAACACTCCTTTCTCTCTTTCTTTTCAACTCAGAGAAACTACTGAGCTCTCTTTGGGCTCCCTTCCCTCTGCTGCAGTCCAGAAAGTGTTTCTAAGCTATTACCTGAAATGATTGTGGAATTCATGTGTTTCTTTTATCTCAGTGATCATAGTTCTGTACTGCCCGTTTCCCAACTTATAAAATAGTTGTTTGATTTATTTTATCCAGGTTTTATAAAAAAGTTTTTCTTCAGAAGTACTGGTCTGATACCAATTAATACGTCATAGCCTAATGCAGAAACAATTAAGAACACACATAAATTGGTATTATTTTTTATTTTAATTGGTATTAATTTTATTAATTGGCATTTGTTAATTGGTATTATTAATTTTTAAACTCAATAATAGATCATTTAAATATATCCATTTTCTGCCTGGTTTTAATCTGTTCCTCTTGCTTCCTGAATTGTGTTCCATAATATATATCCAACCAATTATTCATTTCTTTAATATTACAAAGTTCTTAATTTGCCTCTAAATGTGTATAATAATATGGCAAAAAAAACTTCTTGGTATATATTCTTTGATGGCTGTATTTAAAATAATCTGAATATATACATATATATATATATATATATATATATATATATATATCCACACACAAACACACACATATATATGCACACACACATACATACATATCTATATCTCCAGAAATATATTCACAGTAAAAAGACATATATATATATCTTCAGAAATATATACCAAAATACATATGTGTATGTATATGTCTGTGTGTGTGTGTGTGTGTGTGTGTGTGTGTGTGTGTTCAAAAATATGTATCTTTTTTTCCTCCAAGAATGGGCTTGTAGACTAATAGGGTATTCAAATACCTACTTTAATAAACACTGACAAGTTTCTTTCCAGAATAACTGTACCAGCTTCTACTTTGAGCAATTGTACATAAGAATTTCCACATTGGTGACATTCCTTTGCATTAACCAATTTTCTAATTTTTGTCATTTGATTGATACAGCCATAAGACATCTTAATTTTCATTTTCATTCCTCTCATCTGGAAACTGGGCATCTCTTCACATACACTTGCCCATTTAGGCATCATCTCTGTGAACCACATATTTATCTTATTTTTCTAATACATTCATTGGGTTACCTGAGAGAGATCTTTTTATATTTAGATATTAAGCTCTGTTAAATTAGACACAAAAACAGTAGTCATATACCTGCTACCTTTTCTATAAAATTCTTAATACAAAGAAATATTTAACAGTCAATGGATATTTTTGCCATATATTTCATACTACTCATACCTTTTAAAAATGTAGTTTTAACTGCTAAGTTGCAAAGATATTCCTTATTTTACCTGTTTTACAGCTTTTCCTTTCATATTTGGATCTTCGAACTTTATGAATTCTGTCCACTGTTGTAAAAAGTGTGCATGCATATTCCTGTATTTTTTCAATGCCATTTACTAAAGACTTTCAGCTTTCCAATCTTCATAACACAGAGTCATAGATCTATACCTGCCCCTGCTATTCATTTCCATTGGTCTATTCATCAATTCACATGCCAACCATAAAGTTTGCTTTAGCTTTGTACTAAGCTTTTATGTCTTGTAACACAACTTGCTCTTCTTTTTCAAAGTTGACACACATATTCTTGGGTTTTTAATACTCAAGACATATTTTAAGATGAGATTTACCAGGCTACAAAAATCATTGTAATATTGGATGAGATTCCTTCTAATTTATAGATTTATTTGGGTATAATTGACATATTTTTCTATACTAAGCTTTTGTACTCATTAATACTAAACTTACCTTAATATTATCATATTACCTAGATCATGTTTAACAACTGAGTCAGACAGAGATAGTCACTGAGAAAATTGCATGCAGCCTGGTGGGTCTCAGCCAAATCCCTCTCTGGAAATTGTCCTTTGCTGGAGAACTGCCTTATTTAAGTCACACCTTCTCCTGAGGAGCTACAGGAACATTAAAACCTGGTCTTCTTGCCTCAAACTAGGACAACCCAAAAGGGTCTTCCTTATCTCTAGAGTTCACTTCCTTTGATGCACCTCTATTGTAAGTTGCCATTTCCCTCTGTTCATTTCTGCTTCTTTCATCTCTCACAGGAGTTGTTTTGGAAAGCTTTCCTGAATAAACTCCCTGCATTCAAACATAAAACTAAGAGTATGTTCCTGAGAAATGTAAATTATAATTCTGTCTTCTGCAGAAAAAATCTGGAGTTTTGGGAAATCCATTTAATTCAATTAACAATAAAATTGTCTATATATTTGACATATCTTCTGATATATTTTTGGATGTAAAGAAAATGATATTTTCCTTCCATTTTTCTAATTCCTGTCATGCAAAATTCTTTGTTCTTGCTTGAAAGACAGAGATGTTATTTACCAGCATCCTCAGTATTTAGAATTTAAATGTTTGATTATGCCTTATTCTTGCTTCACTAGTGATGGTTACTAAAGAATATTCTGGATGATACTCTTCCCTATTATTAAAAAATAAAATCCATTGTCTTTTGGCATTCATTGTTTCTAGTATGAAGTTAGCTGTCCATCTAATTATTGTTCCTTTGTAGGTGATCTTCTGATTTACTAACTTTATCTTTTATTGTGTACAGTCTAGAGTGTATATAAATTAATTTTTCTTATTTCTGTATCTTATAATTGGTTTACTTGCATACCCATCTGTCCTTTCTTAACAGTTGATAACTTTTGTTTCATAATTTTCTGTCCTTTTATTATGGTTGTTATTCTTACATTTTTAAGAATCTTATAATAGTAACAGTTATGTTTTTTTCTTTCTGTTTTTACTTTTCATTTTTCTCTTAGTTATGGCCTTGACCCAATTGTGTAATAATCTGCCTTCAGTTCCTTCACACAAGTGGGCAAGTAGGAGTTTTCATTCCTTAATACTCTTCTTGATTTCGACTCTGGTCCTTTAGTCAGCTGTGTATTATTTTGAGAAAAGCCACTGATGTTTTTCCCTGCATCCACTCATTTAAAAAAGGAGATATCTGGGTATTTCTATTCCACTACGATTTACTTTGTTTTTGCATTCAGTTGTATCTCTTATCATTGTAATGCATGTTATTTATTTGTATGTAGTGGAAAATGGAGTACGGAAAAGGATTAATGTCCAATCATTAATCTCATAGACCTATTATGATCAATAATCTATCCAATTAATTTTCATTCATTTTTAAAAGTGAAAAAATTAAATATTATAACCTTTTTTGTTTTTTGAGAGAGTCTCACTCTGACATCCACTCTGGAGTACAGTTGGGCAATCTCAGCTCATTGCAACTTCCATCTTCTGGGCTCAAATGATCCTCCCATCTAAGTCTCCCAAGTAGCTGGGACTACAAGTGTGCACCACCACGCTCCGCTACCTTTTATTATTTTTTTTTTGTATGTTTGGAGGTAGAGGTGGGGTTTTGCCATGTTACCCAGACTGGTGTCAAACTCCTGAACTCAAGCAGTCTGTCTGCCTCAGCCTACAAAAGGGCTAAGATTACATACCCGAGACACCATGCTTGACCATAATATAATAACATTTCATTACCCTGGCATTCCTTGACAGATTTATGTTCTCAGTCATTGCTCTCAAGTGGCCACTCACCAATCCATGCCAAAGTGTTAATCAATAATATGTGTGGTGTTAATGGCCTAAATTGGCAATTTTCCCTGAATAATCTGCAGGCCACTTTCTTAGAGAGATCTCTATGAAAATGCAAGAAGATATCTGTTTAGTGGTTATCTCAAATCTGAGCATAGATTCCATAAATATTTTCCAAAACACATGCATTTTAGTTAGAGACTACCTTAATATTTACTTCTCTTTCAGGAAAACTCCTTGCATGAGTTGTTCATGAAAATGATAAATACATCAAGAAAATGATAAATGTTCTGGAAATCATAATACTCTTTTCATTCAAAAAGCACATGATCCATTCATATAAAATTAAACAAGACAAGCTAAATCATAATCAGTTTTTTGATGAATTCAGAATCTGAGCAAGGGGTAATTGGTTGTAAACTTTGGGTCACTTGATGCATACGTTTTCACCTACCAAGGAGGCCACACACTTCTGTTATTGGCCAGAGTACTCTCTTCTCTGAAAACTTCTGGAAATGTACTGAAAAATTGTTGTTTTGTGTGATCAATTTTCCTAGACTCCATATTGCCCATTCACCTTCTGCTTACATAGTCTTCCTTCTAGTAGCATACAGTGCCATTGATTTTAGCAATGCACATACAGTTATACTGCATAGAGTCTTTATTCTGATCATTATGTTTAAAGCCTGGTTGTTCTAAAAGCTCCAGTAATTTACACCTTATTACATGGAGTGGTTGAGCTCACAAATATTTGTTAATTTTTATATAGTTGGATTTTCTAAGTAATGAGGATACTTCATTATTTCCTCCAGTTATAGCCTACAAATTCTACTCTTCTAAAATGTCCAAGAAAAATGTTTCAGTTTTCCATTCAGAGTAATTTCTCACCTAGAGTAATTTCTATTTTAAAGTTGCAGGATGCTAATATTTTTACATCTGTCATATATAATTAATATTTTTATGCAATGTCATATTTTAAATTATATTACAAGCCAAGAAAAGATGTAATTATTTTAACACATATTTTGAGATTACTCCAAATAGATACAGTTGTGATATTTTCCTGGTTTAATTATGAACATATTTTAAAGTGCTATTTATTGAACACTAGTTTCTACAACATTTTTCTGTAATTTTAAACACATTTCTTACCACAAGCTGAACTCTTCCACCATTAAGCACATCTGGATCTAACTCAGGCAAAAAGTGATTGCTGCATAGTGACAAAAACAGAAAGTATTTTATAATGTAAATGTAGAAGAAGCATATAAAAGAAATGCCCAACTAAAAAGCTTGAGAGAAATCCATTATTTACAAAATGGAAATATCAGTTTTCTTAAATTAGGTTATAAGCAAAAAAATAAGTACAAATGTACATCTTTCCCAATTTAAAAAATCAATTTGAGATAAAATTTCAATTTCTAAATAGCATTTTAATACCACCCTTCTTTGTCAAACATAAACACATGCAAAGAGCCAAAACTGATGAATACTACTAATAATCTTTAATAAACTATAGAAAACTTAAATGTTTTATTTGTATTTACTTACATGTTTTAGTTGTCTTTTTAAAAAGGTAAAGCTTCCTACTTTTAAAATAGCTCTAGTGTCTTTAATGCATTATACTGTGTAAAAAATAAAATTATGTTTAAAACTAGAACAATGATATTTGGCTCTTCAAGAACTCTTGTCTTTGAAAATAATTTTTTTAAATATAACCACCTATTTCTTTTATGTATTATATTTTCAAAGGAGAAAGTTTATGAACAATTGCTTATTGTTTAAAATTTCATATATAACTTATTTATGAGTAAAAGATACTATTAAATGTTTAAGTATATCAAAATTTCATCCTAATACATTTTTCATATATTCTTATTAACACTACGTCAGTTCTAATGCTTTTAATTTTCTGAACAAGACCTCTTATATCTGGTTAATAGAGATAGTAAGTTATGCATTCTATTATCATACATTTGTTTATAATTCTAGGGATGCTTTCTGTTATGGTTTGGATACAGTTCTCACCAAAACCCATGTTGAAATTTGATCCCCAGTGTAGCAATGTTGGGTGCTGGAAACCAGTGAGAGGTATTTGGGTGGGATCATGAGAGTGGATACCTCTCGTGAATGGCCTGGTGCTTTCTTGCAGTGAGTGAGTTCTTGTTCTTGTTAGCCTGGATTAGTTCTGGCAGGGCTGGATTAGTTCCCATGAGAATGGGTTGTTGAAAAGCCAGTATACCCCTTGAGTTTTGCCCTTCGTATGTGTCTACTTCCCCATTGACCTTCCACCGTGTTGTGACCCAGCATCAGACACCAAGCAGATGCTGGTACCACGTCCCTTGAACAACCCCAGCAGAACCATGAGCTAACTAAACCTCTTTTCTTTACAAATTACCCAGTCTGAGCTATTCTAGCAACAAAAAACAGACGAAGACACCACTCTATTAATTAAATTGATTAATAACATAAATTGTGTTTACATTTATTTTTATACTTAGTAAAATAAAAATTCTCAAATATCAATGCCTTTATTCCTACTTTTTTGTTCACATTAAAATCTGACATAATTCTGGCTATAAAGTTTTATTTTCATTTTCATATGATTTTTCACATTTCTAAATGAATTAAATAGATAAGATTGATTGCATATTAAAGTTTATATATATTATTAAAAGAGATCTGTTTCTAACATATTTTGCCATGCTGTTAAACTAAGTTTTAACTGTAATAATTACAGGTTTTTGTTTGTGTGTTTGATACTTATGTGAAACAGTTACTACCCACAATGCCTGGAAATATTTCTAAAATTGTTTTTATATTTTATTCAATATTGACATATATTTTTAATAAATGCCTATATAACACTTTTACTCCTTGTGGATATATGTAGCTAAAACAAAAAATCTTTAAGATCTATGTAAAAATATCATCTCTGGACTTTTATTTCCTTAACTCTTTGGTTCAGGATGCATATGTATGCTTTACATCATATTGTTATGGGCTGGATTCTGTCCCCTAAAATTCATATGTTGAAGTTCTATCCTCTAGTACCTCAGAATATGGCTGTACTTAGAGACAGAGATTGGAAAGAGGTAATTAAGATAGATAATATCATATAGGTGTGCCTTAATCCAATATCGCTATCGCGGGTGTCCTTAAAGAAAGAGAAGATTAGAACAAAGATAACACAGCCCAAAGGATGACAGTGAGAGGATAAAACAAGAAAGTAGCCACCTGCAAACAAAGGAGAAGGTCTTCAAAGATACTAGACCTTCTAACACCTTGATCTTCAACTTGTAGCCTCTTGAGCTGAGAAAAAATAACTTTCCCTTGTTGAAACTACCCAATCTGGTATTTTGCTATGGCAGCTCTAGTAAAATGATATATACGTTCATGTAACAGAAATTAAATAAGCAACTTTTAGACTTAAGGTACCTTGTTGCTACAGAATATAGACATTTGATATCCTCAACTTTATAGCTCACTCGAATGCCATGAGTTAGAATTATTATCTCTCTATAAAAGAGAGAAAACTGAAGTCTTCGGGCATAACCGAAATGAGTTGTGTGACTGGTAAAGTAACAGACACTAGGCTGAATTATAATTTTAACTGTCAAACTTATAAATAACAAAAATAAAGCAAAATAAAACACAGCCTATAAGATACATGATATCTAAAAATGGTTAATGAATACCACATTTTTTACTTTAAAGAATAGAATTGTTTTGTGGCTCTTCTGTTGGTTTCAAGCATTACAGAATAGAGTTGTTCCCAAACATTTCCAGGTAAAAAATAGAAGGAGTAATTAAATCTATTCTATACGAAAGGCCTTTGTATAACCTAGCAATGTGGTGTATTGCCCTTTGGCTATAAAGTCATGTTTGTTTTAGCACAATTAACCTAGGTTTCAATTTTCAAGATGTGTTTACAATACAAAAATCTAATTTAGAGGAAATGACCTCACCATTTCATATTTCTGGAATTAGTTGTTTCATGAACCCCAACCTGTGTATGAAGCCATTGGTATGTATATTCTCGATTCCTTTCCAATTTTTCATTTGCAATGGTCTCTTTGTGGATAAGGTCTTCTTCTATATCTGTGAAAGAAATATGGAACATTTAATTTGTTATTTAAAGAGATCAAACTTTGGCCAACCAGTTCCATCTAGGCTAAACATTTTATCAAAAGAAAGAAAAAAAATTGACTAATTTGTGAGAGCTAAATGATCTGTTTGAAAAGTAATGTCAGCCACAGATTAAGTACTTTTCCTGCTTAAGTTTCAAATTCATCTATTTTTTTAAAAAATATTTTAAATCAATCACCATTTATAGGGTTTGTTTGAGTTTTTAATTAGAAAAATCAGACAGTTATTTTTTGGTACACTGTAGAATTCTTCTAATATAAAGTCATCTGTTCCCTATCTGTACTTTTGGGATTAAAGTCTAATTGTTCTTATACCACTCTTACCCATATGTAGAATTTATAAATTATATTGAGTGTATTTGGAGTTGAATTTTCATTTACATAAAACTGAGCTTGCTTTGTGTCAGCTAATATAGTATTTCATGCATTTCAGAGTTACACTGAAGACCAGTTGTTCTGAAGCATTTTTGGTTTGGGGATTGCTGGCTTCATAGACTTGATTGAAAGTACACCAAAGGGAGACCCCTTTTAAAATCTAAGTCACAGTAATCAAACTCAGAACAATCCTGTGGTTTAAAACCTGATATTTAAAATGTCAATTTATTACTCTGAAATATTCTTTAATTATAGATATTTGTACATAAGAATTCTATATATTTGCAAGTTGTTAGGAAAATGAATAAAGCAAGGAACAAAACCTATTTTGAATGCTCTGTGCATGTAAGTGCACACACACATACACACAAGCTTAGCATGTATCATTCAGAATATGTAGAGGATGATACATCTAATATATCTTTCTTCCTTAAAACTTATTGTTGTAATTAGTGAAATAACTCTAGTTTTCAATTGAAACAGATGTTGAAACCATGTCTCTGGAAAGCTAAAAATCTGGATGCTTTGGATATCTAAAACTCCGTTACTCAGTAAAGTTCCTATTGGTTCTTATGCCATCTTGTGTTTCTAAAATGACTTCAGCACTAGAAACCTGAACTTAGGCCAACTATTCCATAGTTACTACAATTAGAAGAACAATTACTTCGAATGAGGGGATTGGCCGTTGAATCCATGAGCAGACTCCATTTTCATAAATAGCCTTATAATTACACAAAATTATGTAACAGACTCAAACAAAGGGAAGATCTGGCATTGCTACACACTGCATTGAGTCTCTTTTCTAGCAAAACCCCAGCTACTGATCTGCTTTCCTTGAGTGACCAGGCCAGAGGATGGACAGCACAGTGACAGAAAACAGTGATGACTCAGTGATCCTGATGATCAAGTGAGCCCAGGACTTGAACCTCAACTACTCTTGATATGTAGAGAATCCTTTTGTAACAAGTATATGTTTAGTTAAAACGGAAATAATCTCAGTCTTCCCATTTTAAAAAATAGTGGCATATACTTGCAATAGTCACTTTTTAAAGTACTCATTTTGAAAAGCTTTCCTCAATTCTACAATAACAGTTCATAAACTCTAAGTGGTTTTACATCAGAACTCAGCCAAAGTTCTAAACAACAATTCCTGAGTAAAAAGGAGAGATTTCATCCTAAGGATACAATTATTATTAACAATTTTAACCCCAAGGCATGAATTGGTAGATTGGCATGAGCTCAGTGTAAGAAACAGAACAAACATAGTGGTAAAGTTGGCTGGATGTACATGAAAATACTGCAATTCAAATGCCAGAGGAATGATTCTGTCTCATCAAGACTATTTCAGAATCACTCCTGTTACTGAGGAAGAGAAAGTAACATTTATTCTTGGAAGCCTGCGGAAGTCCTTTTAGCAACTTGCGTAGGAAGAATAAGGATGACTTGGATTAATTAACGGATACTTACCTTTCCAGTTAGGCCGCCCAATAATTCCTTCCTTTCAATATATATATATATATATATATATTTTTTTTTTGAGACGGAGTTTTGCTCTTGTTACCCAGGCTGGAGTGCAATGGCGCGATCTCGGCTCACCGCAACCTCCGCCTCCTGGGTTCAGGCAATTCTCCTGCCTTAGCCTCCTGAGTAGCTGGGATTACAGGCAGGTGCCACCATGCCCAGCTAATGTTTTTTATTTTTAGTAGAGACGGGGTTTCACCATGTTGACCAGGATGGTCTCAATCTCTCGACCTCGTGATCCACCCGCCTCGGCCTCCCAAAGTGCTGGGATTACAGGCTTGAGCCACCGCGCCCGGCCCCTTCCTTTCAATATTAAAGAAGCATCATTCTGCCTGGAGAACTCTAATCCCTTTACCCACAGTTCTTTGCTACTTCTCTGGGTCTTGGGTAATTAATTCCCCATATCATCGACTTCAGAAAAATGCCATCCTTTGATTCTTGCTATTCTCCTGTTACTATTGTTTATATGTGCTTTTTACGTCAAAACGAAACCTTCAGTAATTTTATTTAAACAGATTTTGAATTTTATTATAAAAATCATACTCATTAGACAATTTAGAAAGTAGAAAGTCAGAGAAAAGACAATCTGCAAACACAATTATCAAGACAACTACTGGAGAATATTTAAAGGCATTTTCTTGTAGCTGTTTTTGCATTTTTTGTTTTGTTTAGTCTTTAGTTTACACACATAGTTGTTCCTCAGTACCCATAAGGGATTGGTTCCAGGACCTTTTTTGAATACAAAAGTTGGTAGATGCTCAAGTCCCTGATATGAAATGGTATCTCTTATAACTTGTGAACATCCTCTTAGATACATTAAATCATTTATAGATTACTCATAATACCCAATACAATATAAATTGTTATGCTATACTTTTGAGGAAATAATGACAAGAAAAAAGTTTGTACATGTTCAGTATAAGTGCGTTCTGTAAAATTTTTTTTATCTGCAGTTGGTTGAGCCATGGATGCAGCACCCATAAATATGAGAGACTGACTATAATTATATATATATTCTTCATATTGTATTTTCAGTTAGTATTATAATAAATGCACTATATGGAATAGAAAACTCAGACATACTTTTCATGGTTTTATACTATGGTCTACAAACTTATTATATAATAGCTTTTTAATTATCTTTTTAAATTATAGTTTAAGTTCTGGGATACATGTGCAGAATGTGCAGGTTTATTACACAGGCATACACATGGCATGGTGTTTTGATGCACCCATCAACTTGTCTACATTTGCTATTTCTCCTAATGTTATCCTTCCCTTAGCCTCCTGCCCTCTGATAGGCCCCGCTATGTGGTGTTCCCCTCCCTGTGTTGATGTATTCTCATTGTTCAAATCCTACTTAGGAGTGAGAACATGCGGTATTTGGATTTCTGTTCCTATGTTAGTTTGCTGAGAATAATGCTTTCCAGCTTCATCGATGTCCCTGCAAAGGACACAAACTCATCCTTTTTGATGGCTGCATAGCACTCCATGGCATATATGTGCCCACATTTTCTCTATCCAGCCTATAACTGATGGGCATTTGGGTTGGTTCCAAGTCTTCGCTATTGTGAACAGTGCTGCAGTAACATACATGTGCATGTCTTTATAGTAGAATGATTTATAAACCTTTGAGTATATATCTAGTAATGGGATTGCTGGGTTCAATGGTATTTCTGGTTCTAGATCCTTGAGAAATCATCACACTGCCTTCTACAATGGCTGAATTAATTTACACTCCCACCAACACTGTAAATGTGTTCCTATTTCTCTACACCCTCTCCAGCATTTGTTTCCTGACTTTTTAATGATCACCATTCTAACTAGCATGAGATGGTATCTCATTGTAGTTTTGATTCACATTTCTCTAATGACCAGTGATGATGAGCTTTTTTTCATAAGTTTGTTGGCCACATAAATAATGAATTCATTTTAAAAGGTGGAATTAAAAATAATATGTGTAATAGTATAAATATTTTGAAGAATTTGATATAATCTATACTGTCAAATGGTTTTAAAAGGTCTCACCCATTTACTACATACTGTATGAGACTGCTTACTTTACTGAGTCCCTGGTCAACAGCAAAATAGTAAATATTTTGAAACTGCTGATAATTTGATAACATTAATGTCCAATAATGGTCTTAATTTATACATCTTTGCTAGTAAAGTTGAACACTATAATTATTTAATAATTTTAGTTCATACACTGTAATATATTTTTTTTGTTTTCTTCAATTATCTTCTAGAGTCTAGTTTTTCTTTTTTGTTTTTAACTGACTATTCATGATTCTTTTTCTGTTATCACTGGTACAAATATTTTCCCCTGACCATTGGTTGATTTTAGTTTCTACTCTATTTTCAAAAGGGGCAATTTTCTTTTTCTGTAGGCATACAAATTTATATATTTGCCAAAAATCTTCTAAACTATAGGCTGCTTTCCCTTCATAATTTACAGGTTTGTATTTCCTATTTCTATAAACTGCATGAGATACAAGAGGATTTCAGGGACAAATTGGACACACTTCCAATATTTTGTTTTTCACAAATAATATCACTAAGAGATATTGTAAGATGGCCTGAAACTGACTTATCTAACCATTATATTAATTCATTCATTCTCTTCACTGACCTCACTGCTGGATTCTTATAACTCTTTTCTGCAGGGCTTTGGGACACCAGACTTCAAGTATTCCCTCCTCTCAGGATCCTTTTTAGATTCACTAGATGTTGGTGCTCCCAATTCTGAAAGTATCTAGGAGTCCCCACTCTCTACTTGGCACTGTCAGGCTTCTGATGTCAACTTGATAGGCATGGTTTCTTATCTCATGGGATTAGCAGCTGAGAGGACTAGGTATCACCAACCTCTATCTTATTCCTGTTCTTGTATCTCATATTTCCACCTGAGTTTCAAAATCACAACTTGTCTTTACCATCATCATCCTACTAAAGCATGTTTTCCCCCTAGATTCTGAAGTAATTCAGTTTGGTCAGTCTGTCCTCAACACCAGCTACTCATTCTTTAAGTACAAATATCTAATCAGAAATAAGATCTAG